TATTACTATTATTTTATTAATTAAAATAATAATAATTAAATTTAATTTAATTCAATTAATACATATTTATATTTATATAGAAATAATAAAAATAATTGGGTGTTACAATGTTATTTTTTCAAAATCATTTAAATTTAAATAAGATTTGATATTAAATAATTTGGAGATTATTTTGATAATGTATATAGGTCATACATGTGTTAATGTTTGATATTGATCGTTTTTGGAGCACGCGGCAACAAGTTCGAAGAATAGGACACACACACACACACACATACACATACACATTACACATATACAGGTCAGTTGGTGGATGTCTACAAACTAATTATAGAACAAGAATTAATTGGTCTACAGCTGTTCTTTGTTTGGCATCTCATTTTTATCCTTTTTTTTTTTATTTGAAAAACAATAATAATATTGATCCCTAATTAATATGTTTGTTTCATTTCAAATTTTAATCTATCATTGTGAATATATTAATCTATAATTAATATATTAAATTATGTAGATGTATATGTGAATATAAAAAGTAATTACACAGTACTATATTAAAAAAAACACTAATAGATAAAACTTATCTCAAACTATAATTTACATGTAAAATTAATTCAAACTAAAATTTATACTTAAAATTTTAACAGTGAATTTCACAAAATATAATTTTTTTTTTTAAGTAACAATATTTTGTATAATTATTTTTACTGAACATCAAATGACTTTGAAATAAAATATTTTTAACCAATAATTATTTTAACAATACTTTTAACACTCAGTGCAAATTACAATCCAGTCAAGTACTCACTTAACTTATTGCATCCACAAATAAAAATCAAAAGGACAATAAGAAAGACATGCAAAATATTATATGGGTGGATTGTCAAAATCAAAATCAAGATGAAGATGAAGATCAAGGATATGTTCATGTACACTTTATTGACTGGGCTTTGTCATGTAATTATATTTATACAACTCATTCAGTAGCCTGAACCCACCAAAAAGAAATACCAGAATCAGCATTTTGCCCACCAAAGATCCCTTGCCGACACTTCCATTTCACATACTTCAATTGCCACGTGCATTTGCCAATCCCAACAAATTCAAGAATAAACATAAATGAATGGTTGAGAGAAAGGGAGATTATTTGTTGCACATACAAGCTCTGATGTACTTATACAAGTTGTGCAACTCTTCTTATCAATACCTTCAGGACTCTACAAATGCTACATGGCTGAATTTATTACTTCCAACCAAGACTCAAGTTCATATTTTTAAAATAAAAAATCCCTATCTATGGAATGTAACAAAAAATGGGTGCTGCCTAATGTGGACTGTGACTATGATCTGAAAAACCAGATCTACAAGGAGACAAAATCCTGTAAGATAAATACCTCATAAGATCAAACTGAGTATGAATAGTAAAAATTCCCATTGACCTATCCCTATTTACCAAGGAAAAAGGAGAGCTGGAGTTTCTTCAATTTTGCCACAAGTATGCTTTACAATTCTTTTACTAACTCATCTGCTCACCAATCAGATCGAGACCCACAAGGAGGAATGTCAACCCTTGGAAGAGCAGGAAATAGAAATGAACTCCCTGGGCTGATAACAGGCTCCTGACAGAAGCTGTGAGCAGCAGGAATGCTAAAGCGAGCTCTTTCCTGTATATCTTGTTGACTTTTTTAACAGGTGTCTCCGCTGCCTCTTTCTGTGTATTTAACTGATTCAACTCAGAGAGCTCTCTGTCAGAACCTCCTCTGTGCATATGTGGTTGGTTTAATGCCTTT